CATAATAACGGCATGCGTCATAGGCCTTCTGATCTCCATGAGTAATTCGTCCGCTGTGACCTGAATATTCAACGGCTTCTTCTGGATGTCTATAGAAAAAGAGTGGCACAGGTGCGAGACGCATAAGAGCTCCATTTCCTGCTACACCCGGTGAACTACAATTGATGTCGAATTTAGTCACAGACTGAATCATATCCCAAGATAAATTATCAATTTCATTTGCTTTACAAAGGCCTAATTTTATAAGTTTTAATTGACGACGTATAAATTCTTCGAGAGAATCACGAGTTGCATTACCAATATCGAAACATTGTCCTGTAGATGATAAATATCCATGTTTATACCACCATTTATAACGAACCATTTGATCATAAGGATCATATCCTCTTTTAGTAATCAGTGATGAAGCAAGACATAATGCCATGGAAGTATCATCGGTCCATTGACCTGCTTTGAGACCCCATGTACCTCCACCTTCCATGTCTTGGACAGGATGATGAATGAAATATTCATGAGGGCGAAATTCTACACTTGCTCCTAATGCATCACCCACAGCGAGTCCTACTAGAGAACCAATGAATCGATTTACATCGAACTCATTTTGTGAATGATTTGGTGGAGTGATCTTTATCTTGTCTGGAAGTACATTTTCATTGGGTAAAGGAAACTTCATTATTTAACAAAATATCAACAAAAAAATATAATCTACAAGAAAGAAAGAAATATGCATAGGAAATAATTTTATTTCTTAAATATTAAAAAGTCTTAATTAGTGCTATTTTGATCAAGGACAACAGGAAGAAAAGATTATAATGAACGAATACGAATAAAGTTATAGAATTTAAATGTTAGGTACTATGCAAAAATTTATTAAAAATAAAACAATTTATGATAATCAAACAATATTTCTTTATTAATTAAACACAAAACAAAATATAAATAAATTGGACTTAATCTTAAAAAACAGTGTTAAATTCTACCTTTTTAGTCATGAGTGAGATTCATCATACCGCTTTTGCCAGCATTCTCCCTCATATACGATCCATTTACTTAGTTTTTTCATGAACGTTTTAGCATAAACATCTTTGACCCAATCTTCAGGCAAGTTCTCATACCCGTAACAGGCTCCCGCTAATTGTCCATAAATAGCTGCTGTTGTATCAGTATCATCTCCAAGATTAACAGCAGCTAGAGCACCCTTTTCGAACGAGTCATCATCAGACCAAAATGCCCACAATGCAGCTTCAAGAGCAGCGACAATATAACCCTTTCCTCGAATACCATCATCATAACCTTTGGGACGTTTATATGATCCGTCAGCAATCGACTTTATATCAGGATGAAGTTCTTTGTCGCCAAACCATTTTTTATGTTTTGAATAAAATTCATTGTCAAGTAGATCAGCTTTTGAATAACCTTGGAGAGCAGCAACAATTAAAGCACCATAATAACGGCATGCGTCATAGGCCT